TAAACATAATGATTTAGTGGTCTCACTTTATTAAATTTTCTATCAGATATAATTGTTTGTTAGCAAGGAGAAATGTTTTTATTTTATTTGCACTTGGTAATGATCATTACATTTTGAGGGAAATTTGAGGTTGATCTTGCATTTGTGGTCACCATGGCTGCTTTGAGGGATTCGGAAAATGGAGGCATATACTGGTTAACATTTATCAGCTTTAGAATTTAGAAGATTGAATTGCTATTCAAAAGAGGCTTTTCATCAGGGGTTGAATTTTAGGAGTTTTACAGTAGATTTTTGAAGTCGATTGCTTGACCGTGTCTGCTACAATTGGCAACTGTTACACACTTATCTGTATGTTTCACTTTGAAACTTAAAGACTCCTAGTATGATTCCCAGTATTGGTACCCTCTTACTAAGCAGAAGTTTTCGGTCACTAACTAATCTCTTGCCTACCTGCTTCTAGATCTGTGTTGTGTAATTTAGTTGTTTAAGGGATGGTAACATCGACAATTTGGTTTGTAGAAATGAATAAATCTGGATCTTAAAGGAATTCCATTTGCATGTATTACTATTGTCGAATATTTAAACAGCTTATAAGTTGGTGTTTTGATAGTCGACTATGCATCTAGTAGAGTAAGCGGTCTGGCTTATCTATCCGATTGATATCATGCACTCTGATGGGATTGTTAGTTGTAGTTTTAAGACTAAGGCATTTAAACCTAGAGCTTCTGTATTCGCTGCTGTTAAACTGTTTTTTATACGTGCTAATTCACATTATGATCGTATTTCTAAAAGTGTCTTGTCCACTTAATTTTTCCGTGTTTCTATTATAAGAATGACGTCATCAGGCTTCATCTTCTTTTGTTCAACATTGATCCTTTTCTCATAATTAGTTCATTTACATAAATCTTAAGAACTTTACTAGGAGACTGTGATGCCTTATTTCTTCTCTTCAATTAATTTCTAATCCTATCCTTTGTCAGCTACAATTCTTTCTTTTTATTCATCATCCGAACTACGCATAATCTGGACTAACGTTCATGATTCTAATTGCTGAAGGTACTGAACACTGAATTTAATTATTTGTAATACAATGCCACTTGATTTAGATTTAATTGCTAAAAATTATCTTTTCCTTTAAAAAACTTTCTGAAGAAATAAGCTTAAGTAAACAGATAAACAGAAGTAGCTCATCTCAAAATGAAGTCATCGTATTGGAACTGTAGTCTTGCAAAAAAAATTGATGAAAACTTACTTGTTATTAGGGGTCCACAGATTTTACCAACTACTTCTATGGTTAATTAGTTAAAACAAAGGGAGAATGACAATCCCATTTCTACTGACTTTTTTCTCAGTAATGGATTGCACAGGAAAAATACACATTGGTCTCTATTTTAAATCATATCTGACAGTGATGCATAGATAGCGGGACGTGTGTTTCATGTTATTTTCCACTCGTCATTTGGATGTACCTGTATTTCTCATTGAACTAACGAGTCCTAAGTGATACCGGTTGTTATTTATTTTGTTTTTAAGTTTCTCATTATTTGCTTTTATTGCACTGAATTAATTGGTCCTTTTTGGTGTGTCGACTCCTGAAATGGACGCTTCCATGATGCCTTTGGTTTCAAATTTGATACTGTTTTTGATAGATGTCAGTTAACAGTAAAGTTCTAGACACGTGTTTCACTCTATATGGAACGCTTCCTAGTACACTGTCGTGGTTAATCTTACAGTCTTATTGCTGTGTTTTGATTCTGTCGTAACAGTCATCTTTTTTCATATCACATAGACTTAAAACTGCCTAATGAATTTCCAGTAGTTGGTTGGCTGTCCATCAAAGGAGTACAATTCCACTTTCGGCAACTCTAGGCTGACAGTAAAAGATAACAGTGTTATGTCTTCCCCGTGTTTGCAACTACCAAACATATTACTTCTTTCAGGGATACAATTAGTTTTTATTTTAATATTTTTTGCTAACTTGTTCATGCAATTCCCTATCCATTACTGGGGAATAAAATCCTACTAATATTTTAGTTTTAACACACCCAGCTCTTTTTGTAAATGTCGTATTTCTGACTTCTGTTCATCCAGAAACTCTCAAAATTCTAATTCATGTCTCTCCCTCAACTCGGCTACGGCCATCTCAGGACTGTAACGACCAAAACCCAAGTAAAGACGGATTATAGACTGCTGAATATAGCCAGCTAAAGAAATCAGTGAACTTTATAGTCAAATGAACTTTTCACTATCTGGTTTCTTGTCGTCAGTTACAGCAGTCATTTTTATTACAGTCCTTCATTCTATGACTGCACATCCAAGCAGTGTAAAAGTCAGGAAATTATCTACATTTTTAAATAATCAGATATTAATCCATAAGATTAAGCAGTGTTTTAAAATAATTCTGCATACTGAATAATCATACCAGAATATTGGGGCGTCAGTGGTATGGCGGTTAGGACGCTCGCCGACCATGCACATGGTTCGGGGTTCGATTCCCGGCCGACGCACTCCTTTACCTCGCTGAGCCAGAAATAATGCTGGTGAAGAGGAAAGGTTAGGCATGAGGCTAGCAACCCCATCCTGTAAAATAAACACTGCTACAGAAACTTCGAGCTTCGAGCTTGAAACCCTACGTTCCACTGGAGAACATGAAGGAAAAAATTACCAGAATATTCCTCACATGACTTCAGTGTTGCGCTTATGATGCTGACAATTTATAAGAAGTTATGTATTATTCTAAATTTATTAGTAATGCTTATCTGATCAATAGTCTTTTCTGGATGGATTTCTTTTGTATTCTTGCCATGGATTGCTTGTTACATCGTGCAGCCAATGACTGTCAAACATTACATACATATTACACAATTGTGAAACTTTTCATCTAGTGTACTAGAGGTGTTCCATAAAGTCTTGTCCTGTTATCATTTTCCGTGAAGATCGTTCTAACGTCCAGTTGCTGCAGTTTAGGCATGATAAAATACGTCATTCAGTAACTAAAATTGTATCGCTTAGAGTGAAGCTCCTAGTAACATATTCATTACATTTGAAAACTTGGTCAATATCCCTTTTTAAATACTGATACCATGTGAAGTCTTTATTTCATCAGAGAGAAATTCACTCTGATAGAGTGATCTATTCGAACAAAAAGTGTCTGAATTCAATAGTTGGGCCCGACCCATTACACATTTTCATCTCTGCTTTTGTCAATGAACCATTGTTTGAAAATATTGTTGCTAATTGAATGCTAACTTTCTATCAAGCTAATTATTGCTGCAATTTAGACTGTCGTGTTTCTCCTCGAGAACTTTAATTTCCAGAAGAAACATAGAGTGAACAATGAGTGTTCACTCTTCTACTATATTGGAGTTATACCATGTGAAGTAATTCACTGAGCTGTTCTTTTAATAAACTTCTCTCTCTTCCTAAGGGCGAAGTGAATTTACTGATTGGGTTGGGTTGGGTTGGGTTGAGTGACCTAGAGGGATTTATCATACCAGTTTTTTTACCAGTTTTGAATGACATACCCAGCTGGATATGAAGAAATTAAGTAACCTTAACTGCCACATAGCATTGATTTTTTATACTTACTCATACCGGATGTAAAACATTGTCTTGTTAGTATGTGTGTGGGTATACGTGCCCTAGCAGATCTTTTTAACTAGTAACCAAATTACTTTGAAAATGACTCATTCCTAAAACATTTTTGCAAAATGAAAGCAGAAGTAAAAAATAACAACAACAACAATGATTATCAGAAAGTTCCTTTTCAACTGGTTAGAGAGTCTGCTGTATCCAACTCACTTAAGCTTTTGAGTTACACTGCTTCAAAAGATTATTGGAATTCTGATTTTGATCAGCTAAGCCGAAACTTGCTCTACTACTAATGAGTTGCAGAAGGTATAATTATCCCCTTGTAGGTGTTCAGAGTAACTCTGAAATATGCGATATAACATAAGTGTCTTGATAAATAAATATGTAAAGCTCGAGTATGCAAAAGTTTAGGTGCGAAGAAATGCATCCAGTTGATTTTAGGTACCTGTGACTACTAGCATCACAAAGGCTATCGAAAAGTAGTTCAGTTTATTGAAGAAAGTGTCGTATATAGTGCACACATTTTTAAGCTATCGCACTGCTGGCCTAAGATTTAAATCGTGAATGGTGTACATGATATTTTGGTTTACTACTTAGGCTGAATCAGTAGGAAGCAGTGAACTTGGGTATAATGACTACTAGTATTTATTAATAAAAGGTATTTGAAAGTAGGCTCCATTCATTCATTTCAGCGCTTGAATTAAACAAAGTAAGTGAAAGGTTTGAAATTTATGAGTAACTCCTCAGCGAATAGAGTTATGACTCATTGCGTAGCGCACACAAATCTTCTTTTACTTGTTACAAGTTTCGTTTGATAAGGAATTTAAAAAAAATTATAACTACAACAAACCCCGTGCACTCTGCAATGTATACGAAATAGTAATATTTCAAAAGATAAGAAATAAAGTAAGCGAAAAATATTCCCGGCCCCTAGCTCATGCTGAAACTGTACAGGCATGCAGTGTAAAGAAAAAATCTCGTCTATTATTCAGCAATGGAGCATGGAGTGACTTCATCTTGTTAGTTTCTGTTTAGGTTTCACGCGATATCGATTCGTCTACCAAAACGTGACTTCATTACCAACATGAAGTGACTAGAACTACTCATTTACGATTACACTGTTCAAGATAGGAAGTTGTTCTGAAATCACTATTAAAAATATGCAGTGAGATCGGTGTAACTATAAATAAAACAATATTCTTATATTTTTAACACCACTGAGTAGATTAGTTTGGTGAATTAATTATTCATTATTTACATAATTAATAAATTTGCTCAGTGCAAAACAAGTTCTACCTTGGCACTATTTTTCCCACTTACCTATCTGTATTACTTCCTATTCGCTAATTAGTTACTGAAATATGTATGATATATGCCTGTGTTTTTTTTTATATTTTCTTCCTTTACAGAAAGGTTACAAACAGAGTTAGAAATGACTGTCCCTGGAAGAAAAGATAGAATTAACGAAAAAGAAACCACGGTTGATATTAATGGCTATCAACCGCATAAGGTATTACATTATTAGGCGTATAATCTGAAACGTCTGTTATACATTTCCAACTGACTACTTTAGACTGTTAGGAGATTCTGTAAAGATTTTATTGAGTTTCAAATTTATGACCTGTTGATTGTAATGAATGCAAGAAGACTTTGAGTAGCGATTTTCCTGAACAGGAATTAGTGCCCACAAAGTGTTTACAAATAGTTTGGCAACCTAAAATATTGCATTGTTGGTCACATTTGTTAACTGAGGTGTAGACTATTTCTGATCAGTCAGTATATTTCGGTGAATAGAAAGGATACAGAAGTGTAGAAAAAAGAACCTATAAAAAAGGAGTGGATTCTTCACACAGATAATATTGAGGGATTGTGATGCTTGACAAGGATTCTTATAGTCTGTGATAGGCCTCAGACGAAATCATCAGCTGTATGTATGCGTTAACATACTGTTATCGTTACTGTCTAACAGGCAGCAGTCTAAAGAAAAATGAAACTGCTTTTACCACAAAACACAGAAAAAGCCAGACAGTTCACGTGTCATGTGGGGTAGAACAACTGTCTCTTCAAAACAGGATCATCGCATAGGCGTTAGTAGTTGTGCAGCATATCAGTAGTGTTTCAAATGAGTTTTTCAGTCCTAATTGACTGAAAAAGTTAGAATACGTACTTAAGTCTCCTACCTCAGCACATAATTTTAATTGCATTTCGGCTAACAGTAATAACTTCAGAGTTGTATGCATATAGAATGGCCATATGCAGACAAGCAATTGTCTAAAACTGTAAGTCTCTTAAACTGTATTGACGAATGGATGGACATCTTTTTTTAAATGTCAGGTAAACTTTAACGACCAAACTTGTTCCTGTTCATAGCACTACTAATGCTCTTTATCAGTAAGAAGTGTACAGGTGTCCATCGGAAGTCACTTATATTGTATTTACAAATTCACACATGCTTGCCAGAGCAAATTCATTCCAGGGAAAGAAAGATGGGCATCTACTGGCATCACCGAACATATTCCAAAAGCCTGTGACTCAGTGGAACTACCAGACATCTGATAGAAGCATATAAAGTGGTCATTTCCCATTATCAGCAAGCAGAGAAATCTAACTTCAGCTTACTGAATGTGCTGCTATCAAGCGACTAAAACCCAACCTGTGTATTCCGGAAGAAACCGTAATTAATCTCACTTTATCCTAGTAGCAACTGTCCAACTTATTGCATAATCACCTACTATTATTATTTTCGATCCACTAGTCTCAACTGATTTCAAGTCGCTTTTAAATGCTTCCTCGTATATAATTACTCAATCTTCTTCTTCTTCTGTGTTGCTAGTTAATTAGTGTTTTGTTGTAAGTCACTTATCTTCTACCAAACGTATTACAAATAAATAGATTCTTTTGCTGTCATTGTAATGATTAAGCCAACCTATAGTAATCAGTGCTGTCTCGCTTCAAAATAAGGTTCGCATGCTTATCTTCTGTTCAGTAGAATAAGAATACTATCTCCAAGTGAAAAGAAACCTGAACATCTTGTTTCCCTTACCATGATGAAGAGCATATTTCAGTTGTTTTAAGATTTGCGTCTACTGTATTCCTGTAGGAAATTTAGATAACAGTGTGAAATAATTTCCAGGGACTAAGGTGTGATTCAGTGGCCTTTGTTTAAAAGGTGGAATATCAGACAGAAATTTGTTTTGGATTTTTAAAAATCACAGTCGCTTTTACTGTCTATAGTTGGACTTTTTGCATCACGTTAGATTCAGTTAGTAGTGGAAGAGTCACAAAAACATGGAAATAACTTCCTAGGGAACTGATGACGGTTTGTTAACTCTGAGTAGTTTTTTTATTTTAAGAAAGTCTGAGATTAAAGATAACACGTTTATGAAATCCAATATGGTTAATACCTCACAATGCAGAATGAAATGAGTAGAAACAAAGTTGCCTGGACTCTTCAGCAGTGCCAGTATATAATAAGTAGAATCGCTGGGATAAAATTATGCCCGAATATTTCTCCTATATCTCCACCAGATAAAAGCAGTGACACAATCTGCAGCAGCACAGGAATAAGGTAATGCAAGAATGTAAAAAGGAATAAGAATTGAGAAAAACCAATAAATCAGTAATTTGACCATAGATGTACCACAGAGAGAAATGAAACCAGGTAATCTCTAAATGCTTATACATTTCGGACTTCAGATAAGACACGTCAGACACCAGTGCTACCTGAAAAACTTAATATCCATAAATTATTTGTAGACTATCACTGTTTAAGTGTGATTTTTAATGTTAACTTGTTACCTTATCATTTTACATTTTACAGGATCCAAGTGAACGATGCTTATCTGTTGGCCCTTCGGAAGTTAAATTAAGTAATGGTAAGTTCATTAATACTCTGGCACTGATATAAATTTATTAGTCAAAAATACATGGAACTATAGTCACTTGTAGAAAATTTCATGTACTTCAAAATTACGACAAATAAAGTCATAACTGTCAAAATGCATATAATCATAAGTTTGATATAAGTATAAAACTTGGGCACTATGGTAGAGTATAACTCCATTATGGATAAGATTTTATTTTGATAAATCACACAGTGTTGTACAGTTATATTAACTGATGACGTTTTGAGCACAAACTATTGCTCATAATCATATCAAGTTTATAGTTTAAAATGAGTATTATTTATCCTGATTGGAACGTATAATGTAGGCGAATTCAAATATTGTCATATCATTTGCTTGTTTAGTGTTGAATTTCGATGAAATAATCAAAGAAAGAAAAACACTCTTAGAATAAATCATCGTCTAACGTAAATCATATATCACCGCTTTCACCAAAATAATTAGGACAGTGAATGGTACGGCCCTGTTGTTACATCATAGATAAAACTAACACGTAGTCATACTCCACGACATTTCTCAGTTTTTAAACTTAACTAGAAATTCCATTAAATTACTGTTAAACAGTTTTTTTTAATTAATACTATTAACCAAACTCCATCATGACTGCGTACATTCAAAAAGCTAACAAACTTATAGGTTTTTCCAGTCTACACAGAGATGCTATCACGAGAAAGTTAAATTTCATGTGTCTTCTCAGTATGCTGCTAAATGATTGATTACTTCGCCTTTAAAAATGTCTACACAGTTTAGTTTGTGTTCCAATAACAACTAAAAAAACAGCAGTGTAGCAGCCTGAAACTGGATATTCATAAAGGTCAGTCGATTTCTATGGTCCCATATGAAATAACTGTAATGCAAGGAAACTGATCTCTATGGACGCCAAAAATGGCTCGGAGTAAAACAGAAGCCTGCTGAAAGTCTTTGCAACAACCACAAATAATGATGGATAATGAGAGTGAAAGAAATTGAAAAGGTATCGATATTCAGTAATATCCACTGGCGTTTTCTGCTAATTAGGGAACTTCGCTGTGATAAGTGAAACTACTGAAGAAACGCCTGAACTATAGTAAATTCTCAAAAAAGAAGGTTGAAATATTGGCATAAGCACTTTGAGGAGTAGTCCAGTCAGCCTTCAACCACTCCACAGTCCCCCATAGTCCAACATCAGCCTGTTTGAAAACCAGATGTTCATTTAAATCAAGGTAAATCTTGGAACCTCTTGCTATGACTAGACGGCGAAGACGAACCACTAGCGAGACTCAGGTACCAATGATTATGTGTGTCACAGTGTGAGATAGGTTTCTTGATTATTGCAGTTCATAAGATAGAGACTAAATAATCCTTTGTCGACTAAAGATCAATCATCTTAAGTGAAATAATAAGTATCTGAGGTCTAAAAGCCCATAGACACGTGAATATTAAACAAAACTATTCCCATTCCAGTACAATGTTTTGCTCCATTTATTGTGTAACAACATCCTCAGATTTCATCTTCTAGGTGACCATCTTTCAATTGACCCTGTTTATCTCTAAAACCACTAGATCGAATCTTGATCAAAATTAATACGAGGTTATACCAAAAGTTAGAAGGACATTGAAACTGATATGTTAGTGCACCGTTTATGTGGACAATATGGTTGCATCTTATGCCCTATTCAAATACCAAACATAACATAGGATCTGCCGATAAAGTCTATGTAAACAGTGTCGCCAGTTTACTCGGAGTTTTTGAATACCTGATATTTTGCGAATTAGGTGTTCATTCAACAAGAAGTTTACCTATACACGATAATCAAATACTTTTTATTGATACTTTCCTCGTAGGTCCACGTATACCGCCTCGTGGTAAACGTTTCACACCGTCCGCATTGCTATCCAACGGTTGTATGAAGAAAAATCCTGCGGAACAAGTTACTGTGGAATCCGAAAAATATTTAGACTCTTCATGGATGAGAAATGAACTGGAAAACAATTTACCCGATAAAACAGACCAGGCATTCTTTCTCATTATGAAGGTATGATTAATTTATTTTGATCTTACTGAAATCTATTCAACTGACTAGCAATTTTTAGGCTAAAGTGTTTCTGTTATCCTCTGACAATAACTGATATATGAATAGCTAATGTATATTACATTTAAGATGGGCTTACTCATTAAATATTCATTGGGCTGCTTATCAGTTATCTGTTTCCCACTCTTCGGAGGCATACGAAGTCGAAAATCTTAGGGTATTCTAAAAGAAACCACAACTCATCAAAGACTGCTGTGCTAATTATCACCTGGCTGTGTTCTTCTGTGGTGCTGTAAGACACGGTCACGGAAATTGGAAGACATCAAGAAACTGGAGGATTTCTGCCACGGTCTCCTCTGTCTATTTGCTCGCACTAGGTTCAGCTGTATAACAGATAATAATGACCAAAGGAGTATAGTTCAAGATTAGACAGATAAGTTAGAAAAACTGCTAAGGGTTACTGCTTGAAATAATTGGAAGACGTCTTACACCACACATATCCGTCATCTGCCTCAAAGCTCTGTGCCACATAATTAGGATCACATTTAACGACAGCAGAGGTTCACCAGACCAAAGCCTGACACCAGTATATGAAGTCACGGAATGATGGTGTAATTTTTTATATTTTTTATTTTTTATTGCAGCTTGATGCCACACCGTATTTTCAGTACAAGTATGGAATTTTCAGCATGGATATCGGTAGCCCAAATTTTTCAGGCCAACCATAGATATCGGGTGTGCGTCGGAAGGGGATCGAACCCCGGACTACGTGCATGGTCGGCGAGAGTCCTAACCACTGTGCCACCGACGCTCCTTGAAGTATAGATTGCTTGTTTCAGGTTCACGCGACGCAGATAAATACATACCACATCCGTGTTTTAAGTGAGGTATCATTTTTCGTTAGTATATTGCACCCCTTGTTCTCTGTTTAATATTAATTTAACTTCTTCCTACTATATCCCTTACCTTCTAATTGATTTACAGATATTGGTTGGCTCTGCCTGAGGCAGGATGCAGTAAAATAAGGTCTTGTATTAATGTTTTCTGTTTCTATCTCTTTTAAACAATTTCTGCTGGTATATTGTACACACAGTTTTATCTCGTCAGCTATTTGTAAATGAATTGGAAACATTTATTTCCCGATACGAATTTAAAACAAGCAATAAAGGTTAATAAAGCAGGATTTAATGAATTCACCAAATTTCGGTAGAACTCGTCAGCTGAATACTCTACATACACGGATATATATACTTTGGAAATTACATTGGGAGATATAGGACATCAGTCCTATACTGGCTGACTGCTCCTCTTTGCTTGTAGCATAAGTCAACTGAATCTGTTGTTTTATAGAGCCCACATACTTCTGTTTTCCTCAAAGTATGGGGACATAGTCCAGTCAAAGTGTAGCTTTTTTGTAGAGACTTTTAGTTGGTTTTTAACATGCTCTTGTTTCGACAAAGGCGTTTTTTATGTATACTGACTTGTTTTTTTAGTTGAAACGTAGTCATTTGACAGACTATCAATTGGTTATGATTTTGATGTGTACTAAAAATTTAACCATGTATCAGCTGCCAAGTAACTCTGTTTGACATGTATTACAGGCTAGTGAAACAGTCTTAAAAGACTCTCTAGATGAGATGCCGTCAAGAAATTTGATATATCGTGCTCTGAAGTGTGGTTTCATTCTCAATGAATTTGATGGCAAGTGGTTTTTGAATAAAAGTCTTATAGTACGGTGACGTAATATATTTTATCAGTACATCCACCAGAGTGTACGGCTCAAGATTTTGTTCTGTTCTGCTTCATCAACTTGTAAAATGGCAGTTCGAAGTAAAAAAAAATAGAAGATGGGACTTTTTAATCCTTGGTTACTTACCTCAGTTCGTCAAGTTAGATGGAGCCTCATAATAATGAAATTTAGCGTAAAATGCGAAGTAGCTAGGTGTTATAATGAGCCTTCACGTTTTAATGAGTCTCAAAGTCAATTCCATGAGTATATGCATAACTAAGAGATTTAACAAAGTACAACTTTGAGCAAAATTGTGGTCGATTAAAGTTGCCTCAGTTCTAAAAAACAACACCGTCAACCATGAAGCAGTTTGGAAAGTACAAAAATGGACTTGTACAGCCTTTCTAGAATTTCGTTAGCAGTCAGTCCGACGAGAATTCCCAAATAAATAAAATGATCAACCAGTCATCACTAAACTCAGTCGATCCTACTTAACACTTGACATACACGAACTGGACAGAGGACAGACATACTTATATTTGTACTCAAAGTATTCAAAATACTCAACTTTTTGTCAGTGTCACAGGATTTCATCATGAGCTGACATCAGTTAGAGAACCATTGGAAAACCTGGGAGTACTGGACAGCTGTTTCGTCCTAGTTTGGGACTCTTCATCAGTACGCACCCACCGGGGTTCGAACTCAGGTCCTTCTGGTTACAAGGCGAGCTCGTATACCATTAAGCCACTGGGACCGCTGTGTCTCCATTTATAACTACCAGGATCTTTCCATGGTACTAAATCGGTTACTAAGACACTGAAATTTCGGTTCCTATGACATTGAAATTGGCTTAACTTAGATCGGTGAGAATGTCTGCAATGAAATAAAATCAGGATGTTTACATCAACATTCCTGACGGACGATACAGGTTGTGAGATTTATATGGCAGATCTCTTGTATGTTAGTTAGATTAGAGTGTTACGATTAACACAGGTGAAAGTTACCAGAACACCGCCCGATATAGTTGGATGCAGTCATCACACCAAAATATATACCAGTATGTCTGTTTAAGGGAGCTGGTTGGATAAAATAGGTTTGAAAATTTTACCATCGTCTAGGCCAGAAGTATACCCGGATTTTACAAGTTTGCTTCGTCATTCTGTCACCACGATTCTTCAAACCTTAGATAATTAGTATTTCGGTCAACTCACAAATATTTGGCTTCCCTTTGATAAACTTTGATGCTCAATGAATTACACAGTTCCGATAGAACTATTCCAGATTGATGTGGGCTAGAGGTTTTTAAAAACCTGGTTTTATTTAGGTTATTATCTTCGGTGGTGGCAACATTGTCTTCAAAAATAGCCCAAACATTGGCTTATATTCACTGGCCACTAAGAAAGGGAGACAATTAATTACATTCTTAGATCTTGTGGTACCAAATAATTATGGAATTGCACATCATATAATTGGCTTCTGTATCACAGTTTTAGGTAGACGGATGAATGGAAGGCACATTCACGATATAAGAATAGAACCTGTGCACTGTGGTACAGTATAATTCTATTATGGATTAAATTTTATTTTGATAAAGTCTCACAGTGTTATACAGTAGTAATATTTACTGATGACGTCTCAAGCACAGTACATTGCTCATAATCACATCAAGTTACTTACACAACGTTCACAGTGTTACATACTTAATAAACTGTTGATGCCGTCGTTTTTCCTCAGTACTGGCATCAGTCTTGTCAGAAATAATCGGCTCTAGTCCTCCTTCGGACTTACATGGGATAAGTCTATCAACGATTTCAGGCTGGTTAAGTTTTCATACCATGGACATTTATAGCTGTGATTAACTATCTAAATAATCTGCAATTGATAATTACACTTCAACTTGTTGTATTTTGACATCTTCTATAACTTAAAAGCTGTTTTCTGCATGTCAAATTAATTTTAAAAAAGACGCATTTTTTAGCTTAACTGCACTTTTAAATTGCTGACCGATACTTTTCATTTCTCCAGTTAATTTACCTGTAGGACTCCACTTGTCTGAATCCTTACTTTCTACCACTCATATACCTTAACATTTTTATCCTTTTATCATAAATACTGTCTTAGCTTTAATTCTGGTCATGTTTTTCCTCTCTTTTATCATATATTTCAACTGAAACATTTATAAATTATCTCAGTATCCATTGGATACCAGCAAACGCATTCCTTTTAAAACAGATAACACAGGTAGAGGGATGAATAGGTATTGCTTGATATACATATATATATATATATATATATATATATATATGTATCAAACACTATATATTTATACACTACTGATATTTAGTGTAATTTGATAGGCGTAGAAAAGTCACACACGTGATTGTTTCTTTGTTAACTAATCAAAAGCAGGAGGAGATATTTTAACTCTGACGATTGTGTTCCCTCAGTGTCTTAAAGTGATTAATAAGGTAGGTGTACGTTGACAGATACTCTGTGACAGTATGGTTACACATATTTCTGTTCACAGTACAGTCACACTGGAAACTGTTTAAAATTTTCTTCTTCCTCCTGAATATTTCGAACGATTTTGCCACTTAGACGTTCCTAGTTAATAAAATAACGATTGATGAATTTTAGTTTGCCAATCAGAATACTACTTCCATAATTATCCACAACATCTTTTTCATCTTGACAAATGGATTCACTGTGTTGGCATATTTGTGTACCCTTCCCCTACCCTTAGTATGTACGTGTGTACATTATACATTTCTACTCTGTTCTCCATTACACACATGCAACGAACGATAAAGGCGTTAACGCCCTAACTATGTAGACTGCGCAGGTTTACGTGTTTCTCTTTGTTATGATAAATAGATATTGATTTTGCATGAGCATGCAAAACTCTCAAATAAAGAAAAATGTTAGCACTAAATTAAAATGTAGGTTTATTATGTAGGACTGTTAAATATTAATTAGCGGGTTTCTAGATCTTATTAGGATTCTCGGTGGTCATATAACGTACGCAACTTTTAGTCTGTGTCCTAAAATTTGAATGTAGTGGAAGTGATTCGGTTGTTCAGCTGTAAATCTCACGTCAGAGTTGGTGTCAATTGTCCAGGTTCAACAGTCTTTGTTCGTCCATTTTTGGAGGACAATTGCTGTAGGTGCTTTATGGCTTTCATTAGTTCGTCAACTGACTTTATTTCATGACGAAATCTCTACTAAACTGACTTTCTCAGTTGGAAATAAAGCACAGATGGATTGTTTAGAAAAA